TCTGTTGAGTAGTACTCCATTGTGTATATGTACCACATTTTCTTAATCCATTCTTCAGTTGATGGGCATCTAGGTTGTTTCCAGATTCTGGCTATTACAAATAGTGCTGCTGTGAACATAGTTGAGCTTGTATCTTTGTGGTATGATTGCTCATTCCTTGGGTATATGCCCAAGAGTGGTATGGCTGGGTCTTGAGGTGGATCGAGTCCCAATTTTCTGAGAAACCACCATACTGATTTCCACAGTGGTTGTACAAGTTTGCACTCCCACAAACAGTGGAGGAGTGTTCCCTTTGCTCCGCATCCTCTCCAACATAGACTGCCATTAGTGTTTTTGATCATAGCCATTCTGACAGGTGTAAGGTGGTATGTTTTGGTTTGCATTTCTCTGATGACTAAGGACATTGGCTGTCTTTCAGCCATTTGAGATTCTTCTTTTGAGAATTCTGTTTAGCTCTTTAGCCAATTTTTAAATTGGATTGTTCAGTATTTTGATGTCTAGTTTCTTGAGTTCTTTATATACTTTGGAGATCAGTCCTCTGTCAGATGTGGGGTTGGTAAAGGTCTTCTCCCATTCTGTAGACTGTCTTTTTGTCTTATTGACAGTGTCTTTTGCCCTACAAAAGCATCTCAGTTTCAAGAGGTCCTATTAATTGTTGTTCTGTGTCTGTGTTGTTTATTATGTATACAGTGTTCTGCCTGCATGTATGCCTGCATGCCAGAAGAGGGCATTGGATCTCATATAAATGTGAGCTGCTATGTGCAGACTTCTGGAAGAAACAGCCAGTGCTCTTAACCTCTAAGCCATCTTTCCAGCCCTTACTTTGGGTTTCTTAATAGGCCCTTTCTTTGATGGATTGTAAGGGAAGAACTGAAGACAGGATTGTAGCTGGGATATTTAAAAAAAAAAAAAAAAAAATCAGAAATACCACCCTAGAGTCCTTCTGGCATAGTTATTGTTGCTTTAATGAGATGTATAATTTTTTTTTATTCTAGCTGAAGGAAGAGAAATAAAATCCACCAACCCTGTTCTTTCATTATTATTTTTATTTAAGTATATGAGTATTTTTCCTGCTTGTACCTCTGTATACCACATGTGCGCCTGCTGCCTGAGGAGGCAGTGAGCGTGAACCCTCCATATAGGTGCTGGGAATTGAACCCATGTCCTTTGCAACAGCAAGTGCTCTTAACCACTGAGCCAACTCTACAGCTCTCATCCAGCCTTGTTCTATCTTGAGTAAAATTAGAAGGCTTGGCAGCACTGGAGTCAGATGTTTGTGATATAGTTCTGAATCTAGGTTTTGTTGTTACTTTAAGATAGATCAGTAACTTGATGTAGTTTATCTTGGATAAAAGTGTTAGTTTGTATTGCTCTGTTGGTTTGGGCAGTACTGGCAATCATTGAAGATGGGGTGTATGAAAGTGCAGTTTTGATAACAATAATCATATTTGGATTTGTGGCCTAATGAATTGAGTGGAAGGGATAATACAGGAATTTCTCACTTTTCAGTATTAGCAGATATCAAATCACTTAGCACTTTCTGTTTTAAAATGGTCTTGCTGCTATGTTTAATGGTACTCAACTTTAACCCCAGTGGCAAAAGAAGGTGGATTCTTTTTTGAGTTAGAGGCCAGCCTGATCTACATAGCATGTTTCAGGACAGCCAAGGCTACACACTGTCTCAGGGGAGAAAAAAAAATGTGTTGGAGAATGTCTTGCTGTTTTATTAGGCAGCCTAGGCTATCTTCAAATTCATGTTCCTCCTAATTTAGCACTTTTTATTTTAATTTCAGTAATTTTTCTGTGGATGGTGTCACTGATGCCTTTCAGAATCCACTATATAATTTTTACCAAAAAAAAAAAAACACAAAAGAACCCTGGTCCTCACATTAAGAGAGATTAATCTCCTTAGTGTTCCTTCTAACAAAGGATTTCCACTGACTATACCATTCAAGATGACTTTAACGAACCAAAGGAACCTCAGAATAAAAACTAACATCGAAAACTAATCCTTTTTATTTGGACACATTAGCCAAACATTAAGTCTTACATTTACAAAGAGAAATTTAGTACTTTTCAGCATATGGTTTTAGAATGATTATAGAGCTTGTTTTTATGACTTTTTCCTCAAAGATTATATGTTGGTTTTGGTAGAATATCCTCAATTAGAGGTATATAACTCTACTAAATCTGGGAGGACTATTAAAACAGAAGTCCAGGTAACTACAAAGAAACCTATTAATTCTGTTTATAAACCAGAACTAGCTTTAGTTGACTATATTGAAATGTGTTATTCTTTCAGTATCTTTTCAAACAGATTTTTTTTGGGTTTTATTTATTTTTATTTAATTTTTTTTCATTTTACATACTAACCCCTGTTCCCCCTTTCTCCCCTTGTCCCGCTCCCCTCAAACAGACTTTTAAAGTGTTGCTCCCCCCCCCCATCTTGCTTGATTATATTTTGCTGCTGCTGTTGCTAAAATGCCTAAATTCAGAGATAACAGTTTAAAGTGATTGGTGTTCTGGAACAGTTTCCTGAGAAGACTTAGAGGTTTATGAGCTGAGTTCAGGATCATTGTCAGAAACTGCCTGAATTCTTAGTCCACCAACTGTGACTAGCTGTGACCCTGAATCTGTCACATGTCATCTCCAAGGATATTTTTATACATTTTTATTGACCTATAATAGTAACAGTCTTTGTGTGTGTGTTTTCCCATTCTGTATTGTTGAAATTAGGCATTGGTTTATACTGTAATTGCTAAGCAGTAGTACGTTGAGTTTCTTTGATACTTGTGTGTACCTGCAATAGCATTTACACTTAATTCTTGCTTTGATGTGAATTTTTCACTTAGCATTGTCTTGAGAATTAGTCATGTTGATAAACAAATCTGTTTTTATTTTTATTACTATAGGAAAATCTTTTAAGGAATAAACTAATTTATTTGTCTTCATTAGCATAAGTAGATTATGTTATGCATCTGTTTCTTGTGCACATGTAAAAATATATTCTCAGAAGCATAATTTCTCTGTGATTGGGCATGCATTTTTTTTTAACTTAGCCAAATTCTTTGAAGACTGGTTGTACCTTTTTTAACATTTACCAGCAATATAAAATGGGTTTTGTTTTTCTTATCTTACCAACTCCTTCTATGGGACGTTTTCCAGTCTGTTTTGAAAGACTTTATATGTTTGTATATTTAAATTTTCCTTAGTGAATTAATATTTCTGTAAAAGTTGCCTTAAACTATATCTTGGATTCCTGTTATGTTCTTATCTTTAGTCCTTTTAAAAATATTATTCTTGTGTTTTAGAGACAGGATTTTACTCTGCAGCCTAGGCTGCCTTCAGTCTTGTAGTAATCCCTCCTATCCCTCAGCTTCATGAGGATGGGGGTACCGCTGTGTCCAGCATGATATTGAATCTTTAGTATGCTTGATTTAGACATTCTGTACTAACGAGTATTTGTTCTTTAACTTTGTTCACTAGATTTTTGTTGTATGCTGAAATTTTGATTGTTTCCATGTCTTATTTGAAAATTCTTCCCCGCTCTAAGTCTCAAATATTCATTTTTATTTTAAGATTGGCTAAGCCAGAGTCATAGCAGCAAGTCATAACAAAAAGTGATTTTAATTTTGTCCATGTAAAGAGATGACAATTCATGTATCCAGTTATAAATTTTGAGAGTCTGCATTATGTTCTTTTGGTTTTAGAACTATTTTAGAGGGCCTAAAGACGTGACACTGTGGTTAAGAGCACTGACTACTCTTAAGAGGACTTAGGTTTGATTCCCAGCTCTCAAATAGTGGCTCACAACTCTTAACTCCAGGTCCAAGGAATCTGACTACCTCTGTTGGCCTTCATGAGTCCCAGGCATGCACACTATGAGTAAACATACATGCAGAAAAAAAATCACCCATACACATAAAATAAAAAATTTTAAATTAAATGCCACACCCTCCCAAAATATAGCACATACCTGTAACTTTGCACTGAGGAGATGGAGGCTGGATAATGAGGAATTCAAGGTCATCCTTAGATGTATAGCAAGTTTAAGACCAACTTGAGATACATGAGACCCTGCCTCTAAACAACAGCAGCTGCAGCAATAACAAAAAACCAAGCAAATCACTTTTTCAATTTAATTGAGATTTAAAAAAAAAATTCTCGACTGTATATGAGAATCACAGTACTAAAGAGTATATTCTATAATGTATGTAGCATATTTATGGCTTTCTGATTTTATATATATGTAAAATTTCTATAGTATTAGCTTTCATTAGTGTTAAAATATTTGCTAAGTAAATGAAGCTTTCTTCTCTGCTGTGAAGTTTTTTATGTTGATCTTTATTCAGAAACTTTGAATTTCCGTATTTGTAATAATTCTTTTTTTTTTTTTTTTTTTTAAGATTTATTTATTATGTATACAGCATGTGTGCCTGCAGGCCAGAAGAGGGCACCAGATCTCGTTACAGATGGTTGTGAGCCACCATGTGGTTGCTGGGAATTGAACTCAGGACCTCTGGAAGAGCAGTCAGTGCTCTTAACCTCTGAGCCATCTCTCCAGCCCCAATAATTCTTAATGCTTCTTGGATTTAAAAAAAAAAAAAAAAGCCAGGTGGTGATGGTGCATGCCTTTAATCTCAGCACACAGGAGGCCAGCCAGAGCTAAATAGTGAAACCCTGCTTCAGAATAAACAAAGATGGATGGATGGATAAAATATTAACAAAGAAAATGTCTTTTATTTCCTGAGAATCTAAAGCAATTTCAGAAAAACATCTACACTATCAGAGTACAATAAGCACCTCTACTTAAGTTAACTTTGAAGGAAATTTAATGAAGGGTTTTACCCCAAAGACTACTGTGGATTGTGTGTTTTGTCTTTTTGTCTGTCTTTACATCATAGTTAGTCTGCATAAGAACCTACCCACTCTCTTCCTCTCCCTGTTTGGTATAGATGTTACTGCTGCTCTTGGATTTCACTCAGTTTATTTTCTTGTAGGAAACGCAGATCTGAGTGGAGATGGGCTGCAGACCGAGCAGCTATTGTCAGCCGCTGGAACTGGCTTCAGGCCCATGTTTCTGACTTGGAATATCGAATTCGTCAGCAAACGGATATTTATAAACAGATACGTGCTAATAAGGTAAGATATACATTTCTAGTGTTTTCTGACCCGTTTAAAAGCTACCATTATCCCCTTTCTCCCATTCCTTCTCATTCTTTCAATAATGCTTTAACTATGTCAAAATAAATGGTTTCACTTACTCGGTATAATAGTTTAAGAGCCTGATGGTACTAGTGTAGCTCAGAAAATAGTAGAATGTAATGTTCAGTTGACATATGATTAGGAAAAATGGGATCTGGGCCAATATGAGAAAAAAAAACATAATAATACAACTATAGACTCTCTTGTCTATTTAATTTTGAGAAAGACATGAGATCTGCTTCTTCGTTTTGCTTATTTGATTACACATATTCTCTTATTGCTAAGCTTTTCTTACTTGATGAAAAAACTTTAATTAAAATATTTACCAAATATAAAAAACTTAGACAAAACATAAGTAGAAATTTTATTTTCTTGTCTTCTGTTTGCAGAGGACTGATAATTACCTTGATAGTGACATTGAACAGTGACTTGAAAAGTCATTTTAGGGAAAAAAAGTCTTCTGTTCATTTTGAATTTGACTTGAGGGAAAGTATACATAGGAAGCAAACCCTTCAACAAATAGTGGGTGTTTACTGTGTACCCACAGGGGTTTCTAATAGGGTTTACCAGTGAACAAAAATCCTACTTTCATGGTGCTTACATTCTTGCAAAGCAACTTTTATAAAATAGTTTGTGGTTTGGGGCTCTAGAGACCCAACTCAGATCATCAGGCTTGTTGGCAAGCACTGTAACCTACTAAGTCAGCTCATCAGTCCCCTGCAAACATTTTAAAGCCGAAGATGCAGGCTGAAGGGATGGATGGCTCAGCGGTAAAGTGTTTCCTGTTCTTCCTGAGGATCTGAGTGCATTGCTAGTATTCATGTTGGACTTCATGGCTGCCTGTCCCTCTAGCTCCAAGATGTATGATGCCCTTTGACCTCTAAGAGTGTACACACATACACAAGCATATTAATAAAAATAAGTCTTTAAAGAATAGTATGGAAGCTACATGACTGACATATAGTTTAGGTAAAGCCTAATGCACTTTAAAATTCATTGTTTTACCTTTACTGTTTCTAAAAGTCTTAAGCTGTGTGTGTGAATGTACACACACACACACACACACACACACACACACACACACACACACACACACACACACACGATACCAGAGCAACACTCCAGATGAGTTCCTCAGATGCTCCCCATCTTTTCTTCTTTTGAGACAAGAGTCACTTGCAATTGTCCTGGAGCTTGCTAAGTAAGAAGTCTAGTCTGGCAGACCAGAGCCCCAGGGATCTGCCCATCTCTGTCATTCTAGTACCTCTAGGATTGTAGGACTGCCCCATTATACTTGACTTTCTATTTTGTTTTATTTTTTAGGTGTGGGCTTTTGGCAGTTGAACTCAGGTTTCTCTGCTCCCCATAAAGTTCATCAAAAACATACTCATTTTTAAGTAATTTGTTCCCTGGATAACTTGTTTTAAAAAATTAATTGGAGCAAAACTTAAATATATTCCAGAGGTAGTAAATATTTTAGTGGTCATCACAAAGGAAACTTTTAAATGTGTTCCATAGATGGTAAAATGGGCTGGAAACTAAGAAACTGTGCCTATCCCGGGGAAATTACTGTGTCAGGGACACTTTTTCAGTGTCTACGTGGGGGCTTTTACAGCTAAGAACTGTGAATTTCTATATTTGAGAATGAGAGTTTCCTGAGGCTAGTATAATATAGTCATTTTTGTTGCTTCATCTATTTTACATAAATTCAAAACATGTACATAAGTGTTTTTATATTCTCCATTATAAAACTGTTCCATTGTTACTTTGTATACCACAAATATTTCAGTTAGACCTAGGGAATTAATAGCAATTGTGAAATACATCTTGATTTAAAATACTATTTATTCATTTACTTATTTACTATATGTATGAATATTTTGCCTACATGTATGTGGATCACATGCATACCTGGTTTCTGAAGACGGTTTCAGATCCCCTGGATGGTTGTGTTGGGAATACAACCTGGGTCATCTGCAAGAGCAATAAGATCAGAGGGCAAAGCCAGCCACTAGTTAGCTATAGAGGCCAGCAGTGGTGGCACACACCTAATCCCAGGACTCGGGAGATTGAGACAGGAAGTGATATGGCTGGGTGGAGAAAGGCATGTAAGGTGGGAGGAGACAGGAGCTCAGTCTTTTCAGTGAGGAGTTGATGATCCTTTGTCTCTCTGATCTTTCAGCATTTACCCCAATATCTGACTCCGAGTTTTTATTATTAAGACCAATTAGGATTTGTGCTACACTTATCCACTGAGCCATCTTGAGATAATTTAGTGGATTAAGGTGCTTGCTGCCAAACCTGATGACCTGAGTTGGATCTCCAGGACCTCCATGGTAGAAGGAGAAAACTTACTCATTTGAGTTGGCCCCTAATGTCCTTATACAAGGCATGTTTGTGTGCATGCTTACACATACACATGTAAATAAATGAAGTAAAAAGAATAAATTTTAATCTTAGAATATCTAAATGTATGACTTAAGATTGCTGATTCTCTGGAGTAACTCTTTCAGGAAACTTTTGGAAATCATATAGAAAAATCAAAGAAAAACAGGTTTAGATTTGTGTTGATAACCCTTTTTACCCCCAAGTCAAAGCTAATCCAGCATAAAATTTTGGGAGTGTGTGTATACTTTTTAGCTACTTTTTTCGCCTAGGCACATAAAAATTTCTTACATGTGAACTTTGAATATTTCCCTATTATTTAAAAAAATGTTTTTGACTTTAACTTTGACCTTTCTTTGTCGACTGTTATGTGCTTGTTCAGATTCCCTGTGCTGTCCCTGTATATACCTTCTAGGGGCTGAGTCTGGGGACAGATGCCACCATCTGGTGACATGACATGGATGATACTGATATACTGATGCTGGTGACAGGGTATAAACAGATAAAGAACCTAAGTCCTTATTATGTCACTGCTGCTCACATACTTTAATGCAGTTCTTGTTAGAGCATTAAAAAAAAAAATCCTCTTTAAATGACGTTATGAGGAATGCTGTGATAAAACATTTTTACCTGATTCAAACAAAGTAATAATTTTATCTGCTTTTGTTTGTTTGTTTGTAAACAAGTAGCTTATGCTGGCCTTGAACTTCTGTTCCTTATGCTTCTACAGACAAAGTGCTGGAATTATATTTGCTTTTTAAAATTTATTTGTTTTGATATTTTATGGGTATGAGTGTTATGCTTGCATGTGTATATGTGCACCCATATGTGCCTGATGCCTATGGAGGTCAGAAGAAGGTGCACATCTTTTGAAACTAGAATAGTGGATGTTTGTGAGCTACCATGTGGATTCTGGGAACCAAACCCAGTTCTCTACAAAAGCAGCAATACTCTTAACTGCTAAGTCTTCTCTCCAGCCCCTGTTCTGAAGATACAGTACTTTTCTATGCTGACACAAGAAAGTATCACAAATGGAATGGGTTTAAAAGAATAGAAATAAGTTATTTTCAAAGTTTAGAAGTTGGAAAGTCAGGGAATTCACCAAGCCATGCTCTGTCTGGGGTTATAGGAAAGATTCATTTCTTGCCTTTTCCTAAATGATCGCTGCTGCCTGTCCTTGGGTTTTTTGTTTGTTTTGTTTTTTGACTTGTAGGTGCATCACTCATTGCCTGTCTTCACAATGCTAACTTTTTGCTGTATTTCTGTGTCCAAATTTTCCTCTTAAAAATAACACCAGGCAGGGCACTCACAAGATGACTCAGAGTAAAGGCACTTGCCATAGTGTCTTACTCCAGAATCATGTAAAGCTTGAAAGGGAGAGCCAAGTCCACAGATTTGTCCTATCATGTGCACGCGCATTCACACACACACACACACACACACACACACACACACACACACACACACACTAATAATAATAAAACCAAATTAGGTAAATAACTAAAAATATACAAACAATGTTATATATATTTACTGTCCACACTAGAGAGTGTTATCTTCCCTTGATGTCATCTGTAAAGACCCTACTTTGAAATAACTGCACAACCTCATTCTCAGCATGAATTTTGAAGGAGTAATCTTCAGTTCAGCCTAGCAGATTAGTCTTAAAAATTACTCCAATTATACATTAACATGAGTTTGGTTTTTATATGGCAGTATAATAATAGAAGTGTTTTGTTTTTTTTTTTTAAAGTGCGCCAGGCCCTTTTTAAATATTTTGATGTTATCCACATTTACTTTAACTAATTAGTTTGGTGATTCTGGACATTAATTCCCTCATTTGCACATCCTGCACAAGTACTAATATTGTGCTCTATCTCCAGGGTCTCACTAATTAACCCAGGCTGTCATTAACTCACTTTGTAGCCTAGACATGGGCTTGGACCATGAGGCCCAGCTCATGGTTTAATTTTTATTTAACTTATTCCAGGATTTTAAACATAAACAAATGAAAGGTCATTTAAATGAGTGCACAGAGCTGAGATTTGATTATCTAATTCCAGGGCTATGGTTCAGTTTAGCAGTTGCTTTGTTTACTTTTTTTTACATACAAAGTGGGAGGATATTTTTCTCCTGCGATAGTAGATGTGACAAACTGCAGAAAAAGAAGTATGCTAAGTACTGCTAAATTTCACTTCCATGATTTGCCAAGCTTGCATGGATTATACTTCCCTTTTTTTTTTCCCCTCCCAGAGCTGAGGACCGAACCCAGGGCCTTGTGCTTGCTAGGCAAGCGCTGTACCACTGAGCTAAATCCCCAACCCCTGTACTTCCCTTTTTATGAGATGATTTTATGCTTGGTGATAGCTGGTTGAGTTGTGAATTTGTCTTTGGGTAGATTAGGGGACATGGAACTTTTTTAAAGTACTTGCCACATGTTATCATTAATTTTGTTACAGATGAGGAAGCTCAGTTCCATTTTCTGCCCTCCCTTCCCAAGGTGTCATTTAGCTCAGACTTGCCTCAACTCACTATGTAACCAAGGATGACTT